TCACTTTACAACTGTTCAATCTAGCAATGCCACACCATTTAAAGAAAAGCCTAATCATAATTCCGTCAAATGCTGGCTCAAATTTATCTCGGACATTTAAGCAAACACTTGGGGTCTTAACCTTTCATTTCCCAACTAAAATTACATTAACCCAATTTATAATCTCATGCCATTAGTCTATTCCTATTAGTAACCAATTTTTTTCCTACGTTTCTACTACTTTACCATGGGGGCAGCCTACCCTCCCCCATGCCGCAAAAAACCACACACAAACACATTTTATTCCATTCTAGAATCACATTAGTATTATGCTTTGAATCAAAGCGATAATTGAGCATTGATTAGTACCAAAAAAATTTTACGTAACCCCATCTTCAAAACACGCAACAAAAATATAAAATTCAAAAAAGATTATTACCAGGACCATCAATAATATCTCACTTTACAATTGTTCAAAAAAATTGATAATTATTGATAACTCACTAAACAATCCTATGCAGAAGATTCAGAATTGATAATACCGGAAGTGTGGTAGCAAAGGGGCTGAAGTGTGGTANTGGATTCTATAATATAAAATAGGGCGGGTTCAACAAGCACATCCGACGGTGTCAAAAAAATTCATTCAAAGGTTACCAACATCTTTCTCAATATCATTTATATTAAATTTTACCTTCCTCTTCTCACTCTTCACTCTCTTTCTCTGGCAGTGACGGAGGGAGGAGGGGTTTGGGGCGACCCATAATTTTTATTTATTTTTTAATTATATATGTTTTATATATTTTTTTAGATTAGTTGGGCCCATTGTAATGATTTATGAAAAACAAAATTAATTGGATCAAACAAGTTGAGTACTAGTGCAAAAAAATAAAAACAAAAAATTCATACCAAATCTCTTAAAAATAACAAACTAAAATTGATTCGTTAGAGTATTGAAATAATTTGTTGAAGTCTCATTTGGTTCAAAAATTATAGAATATATAGCCAAAAATTAGTAAAATATAGAATTTATAAAAAGATTAAAAATTATAGAATATTGCTTTTATTTGTGTCAAATAAATTATATTATTGATCCTTAATGTATAAATGTTATCTTATTAATTTTTTTTCAAATAGACCATTTTTATTTTTAATGAATTTTTAAGTATCACATCTAATATAAAAAATATAAATATATAACATTATTTTTATCTATTATACTTAAAGTGTGTCCACCATAAATCATATATTGGCTCTGTCACTATTCTCAAAGATCTACACTCCTCACTTTTCTAATTAATTGGTTGATCTATTTTACACTGTGCCTTCTAGGGGTGTAATTTGGTTTGGACAACCCGATTTTAACCCGAAAAATTTAGTGTTTGGGTAAGAGTTTTTAGTACTTGGGTTGGGATTTGGTCAAAAAATTTCAACCTGAATTTAATTTGGGTTGGGCTGGTATTAAGGTCTCGTGAACCAGAGTTCAACACGAACCCGACAAATTAAAAAAAAAGTTATATATATATATATATATATATATATAAAGTATTAACACTGATTTTTTATTTTTGTTCTATCATTCTCTTTACCACTCTTGTTTTCTCAACCCCTCTCGTTAAAAACTTGGTTGAAGTTATTGGTTGTTAATTTATGTGAATATTATATAATATATGTATTACGTTTAAAACAACAAGCTTATTTTGTACTATACTTAAATTGAACCCGTAAAATAATCCGAAACCAATCCGAAATCATCAATCGTAGCCCGCCTGAATTAAACTTGAATAGTGCTCGTGATGAGTTTTTCAACCCGAGGTAGGGTTAGGATTAAAGATTATATACCTAGGATTGGACTCGGGTTGATTGTCTAACCTGTCCAACCCACCCGAATTGCACTTTTAGTGCCTTCAGATACGGATTATCCATAATAAATTGATAAATAGATTCATAATTAATTGATTATATATAGTGACGGTGACCCATACAAACGTGGCGTAACTGTTTCATTAAATATTGTATCCGGGTTAACCCGCCGTGAAATATTTTCGCTATATCGTCAGATTCGGGTAGCCTGAAGAATAGTCTTCAGTCTCTGCACTTTCTAGGGTTTTCGTCCGATTGGTTCTGTTCCCGTGTTCTCCGACATTCAAGCCTCTCCAACGTCAGGTATTTGATTTTATTATGGAGCCTTTTCATCGAAATCNTTTTTAATGAATTTTTAAGTATCACATCTAATATAAAAAATATAAATATATAACATTATTTTTATCTATTATACTTAAAGTGTGTCCACCATAAATCATATATTGGCTCTGTCACTATTCTCAAAGATCTACACTCCTCACTTTTCTAATTAATTGGTTGATCTATTTTACACTGTGCCTTCTAGGGGTGTAATTTGGTTTGGACAACCCGATTTTAACCCGAAAAATTTAGTGTTTGAGTAAGAGTTTTTAGTACTTGGGTTGGGATTTGGTCAAAAAATTTCAACCTGAATTTAATTTGGGTTGGGCTGGTATTAAGGTCTCGTGAACCAGAGTTCAACACGAACCCGACAAATTAAAAAAAAAGTTATATATATATATATATATATATATATAAAGTATTAACACTGATTTTTTATTTTTGTTCTATCATTCTCTTTACCACTCTTGTTTTCTCAACCCCTCTCGTTAAAAACTTGGTTGAAGTTATTGGTTGTTAATTTATGTGAATATTATATAATATATGTATTACGTTTAAAACAACAAGCTTATTTTGTACTATACTTAAATTGAACCCGTAAAATAATCCGAAACCAATCCGAAATCATCAATCGTAGCCCGCCTGAATTAAACTTGAATAGTGCTCGTGATGAGTTTTTCAACCCGAGGTAGGGTTAGGATTAAAGATTATATACCTAGGATTGGACTCGGGTTGATTGTCTAACCTGTCCAACCCACCCGAATTGCACTTTTAGTGCCTTCAGATACGGATTATCCATAATAAATTGATAAATAGATTCATAATTAATTGATTATATATAGTGACGGTGACCCATACAAACGTGGCGTAACTGTTTCATTAAATATTGTATCCGGGTTAACCCGCCGTGAAATATTTTCGCTATATCGTCAGATTCGGGTAGCCTGAAGAATAGTCTTCAGTCTCTGCACTTTCTAGGGTTTTCGTCCGATTGGTTCTGTTCCCGTGTTCTCCGACATTCAAGCCTCTCCAACGTCAGGTATTTGATTTTATTATGGAGCCTTTTCATCGAAATCATTGCCCAGTCTTGCATAATGGAATTCAATGGTTCGTTTGCTTTTACCGGAATAATTCCTTTTTTTAAGCTGTAATTGGGAAAGAAATTGGGTTTTCATGTNTCATTGCCCAGTCTTGCATAATGGAATTCAATGGTTCGTTTGCTTTAACCGGAATAATTCCTTTTTTTAAGCTGTAATTGGGAAAGAAATTGGGTTTTCATGTGGAAAATCAAGCAAACAGAGAAGTAGGGTCGGGTGTTTTGATTCACTNAAAAATTTAGTGTTTGGGTAAGAGTTTTTAGTACTTGGGTTGGGATTTGGTCAAAAAATTTCAACCTGAATTTAATTTGGGTTGGGCTGGTATTAAGGTCTCGTGAACCAGAGTTCAACACGAACCCGACAAATTAAAAAAAAAGTTATATATATATATATATATATATATATAAAGTATTAACACTGATTTTTTATTTTTGTTCTATCATTCTCTTTACCACTCTTGTTTTCTCAACCCCTCTCGTTAAAAACTTGGTTGAAGTTATTGGTTGTTAATTTATGTGAATATTATATAATATATGTATTACGTTTAAAACAACAAGCTTATTTTGTACTATACTTAAATTGAACCCGTAAAATAATCCGAAACCAATCCGAAATCATCAATCGTAGCCCGCCTGAATTAAACTTGAATAGTGCTCGTGATGAGTTTTTCAACCCGAGGTAGGGTTAGGATTAAAGATTATATACCTAGGATTGGACTCGGGTTGATTGTCTAACCTGTCCAACCCACCCGAATTGCACTTTTAGTGCCTTCAGATACGGATTATCCATAATAAATTGATAAATAGATTCATAATTAATTGATTATATATAGTGACGGTGACCCATACAAACGTGGCGTAACTGTTTCATTAAATATTGTATCCGGGTTAACCCGCCGTGAAATATTTTCGCTATATCGTCAGATTCGGGTAGCCTGAAGAATAGTCTTCAGTCTCTGCACTTTCTAGGGTTTTCGTCCGATTGGTTCTGTTCCCGTGTTCTCCGACATTCAAGCCTCTCCAACGTCAGGTATTTGATTTTATTATGGAGCCTTTTCATCGAAATCATTGCCCAGTCTTGCATAATGGAATTCAATGGTTCGTTTGCTTTTACCGGAATAATTCCTTTTTTTAAGCTGTAATTGGGAAAGAAATTGGGTTTTCATGTGGAAAATCAAGCAAACAGAGAAGTAGGGTCGGGTGTTTTGATTCACTCATGGGCTTCAGCTCATTGCTTAATCAAATCGGTCACAAGAATCTTACTTTATCAGTCTGTAATTGGGACAGAAATTGGGTTTTCATGTAGAATTATGTTTTACTCTGCTTAATGATGTGGGCGAAGTGTCTCTTTACTTTTGGTGTTGTTCTTGGTGCCTCCTTTTTTCTTTTTTTGCTTTTAGAGAACTGTTCTCTGTTTTTGAAAGCAAGATTAATGGACAATCGGAAAATTAGGTGACAAGGCCACATGTGTGTTGTTTATGACTAGCACATTCAAATACTTGCGTGACAACAAGCCATCTACTGCAAAATACCAAAGGGTTACTTTTTTTTTCCCTTTCATTACTGGACTTGTCTGGACTGAAAACGAAAAATCGGAACATTCTTTTGAAATCATGATCAAACATGCCCTAGTTAATTCATGCTAAGCACGGTGCATCAATGTTGTAAGTTTGTCTGTGGTCATGGGTGATGAAGTATTCAGCTATATTTATTTGAATAATGTTGTGATCAATCTGTATTTCAGATGAGCTATTCGTCGGATCCTCATGCAATGGACCATCGTAAGTCTTTCTCTCCTCTTCTATGAAGAGGCCAATTTTCGGAATATTGGCGGGCATGTAACACTAGTTCTTTATCTACCCTTGTATTCAAGGGGAATTTTTCAAAGATGTATAATTTAATTGTGCATATCTGTTGATTTGGATCGTAAATGTACATCTCCATTTTTTTTTTGTTTTTGATGTTTACTGCTGTTGAAATTTACATTGGTTTAATGGTTTTCTACTATGTGTATTTTGGGCTGAGAAGAGTCTGGAGTCAAAGGATCAGAGGTCTTTGTTGGTGGCTTGGCTCCTACAATAACTGAAGACAAGATCCGTGAGGTTGGTATTCTTATTTAGTTTTTGATGTACATTTTTTTAGGTGAGTTATACTGCAGTACTAAAGTTTATTACTTAGTGTATGAGCATGATATGTGGTGAACTCTACTTGTCTTTGAGAATTTGGCTTGATCAAACTGGGTGGCTGGTTAAAGTTTAAGAGTGTCGACTGTGACGTAAAGAGATGATATTTTGAAGTCCTAGATATATGATGAGGGAAAAGACAGACTATCAAGAGAGATTTGTTCATTACTTGTTTTCATTTCATCTCTAAAGGAAACACCTAGATATGTGTAAATTGGCAGAGATCAATTGTATTATTGGTAAGCATAGATGTGGCTTAAAATCTGAATCTGTTCAAGTTCAATGGGTAGTTAATGCTCTACAAACTAACCTCACAAGGATCAAAATCTTATTATTTTATTTCTTAATGAATATTTAATAGTATTTCATTTCTTAACAAATTTTTAATTTACTTAATTCTCACCATAGTTCTTTCCTTTGTTTTATTCTTGAAAAAAATTCCATTCATGTATTTTATTGATTTCAGTGTAAAGTTTCCCTGGTCCAATAGAGATTCAAGAGAGCCCATCCTGTACACTTATGGGCTTTGGGCTGAGTTTGGTATAAATTGGTTCATGTGGTCCTGGGGGAGCTTGTTAGGTAACAAATAAGCAACTGACATGTTATGTTATAAAGGGTTGACAAGTGACTGATGAAAGATTGGTCAGTCTTTGTGATGTGCCACCATCTGATTTTGAACAAAATAGCGCTGAGAAAATTGTTTCCTGACCAAGTCAGTGCAGTCTTCTTTGAACTTGACATTTTCTGATGACTCCAATCTATCTGTGTCCACTTGAAGCTGTTACTGTGATCACCTATGCTTTTTAGATAGCTCTTATATCATCTCTTAGATGTTATTAGGAATGTATCTAGTATGTCGTGGTGTCCCTCTGACATGTGCAGATTCGTCTTTGTTCTTTTATGAAATCAGTTTGTGTTTCCAGCTTGGTTTGCCTGTATAAAAAGCTGCTCATGTTCATAGGGTTCCATCAGGATTCCAATCAAAAAATTGGTCAAAGCCCAAATAGATGTAGACTAGAAATTGCTAAATCAACGGTTCCAGAGTGGCTAGTAATACCGCTTAAGGGCGTATAGACCGTCTAGTGCCGCTACCCACTTCCACTAAGGCTGGGCTTAATAGGAGCTAGGGATACATCATACATGTGTTTGAATGTGTCTAATCATTTGTATGCAAATATAAATGCATCCATTTGTGACTGTGCTCAACTTCATTAATGAGTGATTGTCATTTTGGAAAATAGAAGAGCTAATCGCAATTACCTGCTGTGATTACAAATCTTTGACAAGCTACCAGTTGTGACAAAGAACATCAAATAGTCTTCATCAGGCAGGAGTTATTAGACAAATGATAACTTTTATGGGGCTTCTGCTGTGATATTGCATATTGACAAAAAAGTGGACTGACTATCATTCCTATTCTTCCATGTGGGGTAGATGCAATGTTCAATCCTCATAGATTTGATCTTACGTTTTTGTTTTTGGAATCATAGTCTGGCCAGGCGAGGGAGAAGTGATGCCAAAAACAAAGGAGACAATGGAAAGTAAAAGAATATCGCAGATTTTAAGTTGGGGGTTTACATGATTGCTTGATTATGAAATTGAGCATGGCCTTTTTGCTTTCCCTTCTTATTTTTTCTTTTCTTTTCTTTTTATCATCTTCCTTTAGTTATTACATCAACCTGCTGTCACCTTATCTATAGCTTTGTATGCCTTTCAGGTATTCTCTACTTGTGGGGAAATTCTGGAAGTACGTTTGATTAAGGACCCGAAAGGAAACTTAAAGGTTTATTTTGCATTTGTTCGTTGTCTGCTTGTCTATGATTTTGCTTCTTAAAGTTTATGCTTCTTCTGTTCTTCATATGATTCTCCTTTCAGCATTAAACTAATTGTCATTTGGTATAGGGATTTTGCTTTGTACGTTTTGCAACGAAAGAGGCTGCTCAGAAAGCTGTGAAGGAAAAATCTGGATTAATGGTACGCCAAACAGCATATCAATTGTACAAATGAATGTTGTTCTAATGGTGCTTTAGTCTGTGGTGCAAAGTAGCTTTCCTCTGCGGTAGTGCAGCACATACTTCCCCCCATCCTACCTCAATGAATGCCATGCTGTGTTTTGCTATCGATTTCTCACTGTCAATCTCAAATGCTTTATTGTTATGCTGTGTGATCTAGCTTTTTGAACATAAGGAAATTTTGGCACTAGCAAAAACATGAATATATTTGGAATTAAACAACTGCGTGAAGAGCTAAATTACAAGACATTTTTTTTACAATGTAGCATCACCGAAAAGGGTGGGATCTGTTTGTTCTTGCTGTCAGTCTAAGAATGCCTTCACCTCAATAACCTTCTCCGGGATTCATATTTTTTCAACCAATTTGTTTATTGTGCCATGCATGCAAAATATTTCTAAACCTAGAACTAGATCTTATTTAGAATAATTTTTGGAAATATAAAACTCATTAAAATTTTAGATCTTTCATTACCTTTCCTTTCTCGAAGTTAACATTCCAATATACCCGATTTTTGGTAATTGTTAGGTGTAACTTATATATATTTCTCTTACATCGAGAGATTTGTTTGCATTGGCATCTCGTAGAAATGTTAACCTGAACTTTATTTGCCGTAATATATTTTGTGAGGGATGAACTAATTTGTTATCAACCTAATTGGGGTTTTACATTTCAGCTAGAAGGGAGGAAGATTGGTGTCCTTCCATCAACAGAGCAGAGTACCTTGTATTTAGGGAACCTTAACAAAGGTGTGTTTCTTTTGTTGTACATAAATGCAATTCGTAGCATCTAGGAGATTGTTGACAGAATCCGTAAATTGGTGAGCCAGTTAGAAGTTTTTTTTTGTGTGCTGCTTATCAAATGCCATGCATTAAGACCCATGTGGTGCTTTTTGAGGAAGTTTTGGGATTTCGAGAGTCATGCACTACATGAGAGATTTTTATTTCCTCTATGCTGGTGAAGCTATCTCTTTTTTTTTTTTTCCCCCTGGGATGCAGTGTTCAACTGTTCTGAGGTACTTGCTTTAGTCAACTGAGCTCTTACTTCCCACTGGTTTGTATTATATGTATTATATGAGTGTTGTTCTTTATGTTGTTTGCTCTCTCTTATCTTTAACTATTTTTATCTTCTTGGTGCAAAGAAGGATTTTTCCCACTTGCATTTGTATACTCAAATGCACCCCTACTAAGGGGGACTAAATTGGGCCATCCTATGTTACTACTATAATGATTGCATGTTACATAGAAAATATTCTCCTTTCTTCATGTGCATAAAGCATGTCTTGTTGCTAATGTACTTGCTTCAGCTTCATAGAACTTTTTTAAATCCATATTCTTGATTGTGGTTGCCTTTCAGGTTGGAGTGCTGATGAATTTGATAAAATTGTGCATCAGGTACCCTATTAGTTTCTTGCATGGAATCTAAACTTCTTCTTATAAAGGTGACATTTATATATTTTTACTTTTGTAGGTTTTTCCGGATGTTGTATCAGTCAATCTTGCAATGCCATTTACTAGCGGTGACAAACCTCTTGGTAAAAAGCAACAAAACCGCGGTTTTGCCTTTGTGAAGTTCTCATCTCATGCTGTAAGTTTTTTTTTTCTTTTTTGTTTGTTGGGAATAGTTATCTTCATATTACTTAGCTATATTCGAAAGTGTATGCTTTCAAAGTTGTATACAATTAATCTGACTTGCCTGTTGCATCTGGAATCGTACAGGATAGAAGCTCAGGTTCGTGGTTTTGATTCTCGGTTCGAGCATCGATTTATTGACCCTGTTGTAGTTGAACACCAAATAATTCTTGAGAACTTCTAAAACATGTTGAATCTTGTTGACAAACATGAAACTTCAAAATGCCAAAAGACCTTTTTTTTTTATAAGAAACACAATTTTCATCAAAACAGTAAATAAAGTACAATTTAGTGTGGACAAGAAATCCACCTAGCAGGAAAACGAGAAATAAATGGAACAAACTTTGAAGCATAACAAAATAAACATCTAGCTACATGCTGCCTGCTGCACCCAATCAATATTAAGGAAATAAAGTGAAACATCCTCAAACTCTTTATTGGTCTCTGGCCATAGAGAAGCGAAGAACTTTGCGTTGTCCCACATAGACTACACTTGTTTTTCCTTATGGTCAAAGATTCTCCTATTCCTTTCAATCCATACCACCCAGAGGCTCAAAACATCACAAATGCCTTTATTGCAAAAAAAAAAAAAAAAAAAAAAGTCCCACATTTCTGAAATTTTGTCAATCTGAGACTGCTTGGCATACAGGTCCTTTGCAAAATATTTTTCCAAATGGCCTCCACCAATATGTGATAAAATATCTATGCCAATTGCCAATGGAGAATCTTATAATTATTCATTTGCAGTTATAATTGTGAAAAGTGTTTTTATGTCCTTGTTTGCTGATGATATCTCCAATCTGTTGTTTCACTGTCAATACAACTTCAAAAGTGATCTGTTCGACGGTGTTACTGTCTGAATCATAAAGATGGTAAATCGATTGTTATTTGTCATTCTTTTTGATTTTTCTTGGTTGTATAGTACAAGATATAGAGGGATGTCTTTGGCCTAGGGGTATTTTAACCCCTATTCCATATCATTTATCCTTTTTTATTTTTTATTTTTATTTTTACCTGGTTTTGTTCCCTTTGTTTTGTTGCCCCACCTAGTCCATTTCTGATACAGTCCTCATGATACAAAAAAGGATTGATCATCCCAGCCAAAAGATACAAGAAAGGGTCATACACAATCAAAGAACATTACAATCTGCTTTTTGGTGTTATTGCGTGTCATCTATTTCCTGTCTCTTAGTTATTGAAAATTGTTGTTTATTTGGATGCAAATATTCCTAATAATTGTCTGAACTTCAGATTTCCTTGGAAAATTGTGCTATTTTTATAGGGGCTGCTACTAATCACATGATCATGTAGACACACATGAGGGACTCCGCTAAAATGATTTCTTATATCGTCATTTATTTGGGATGCACTAGAAAATAAACTAGAATTTGATTATCACGCAAAAAAGGACAACCCAGTGTAGTCTCGATTAATGGGGTTATGGGGACAGTGGGCTGGGCTATCGTTTGCATAAAGGCTGCTGCCCCAGATTCGAACAAACAACTTCAAGGTTATTAGGCTGAATTTTGACCACTGAACTAGGGACCGTGGCCCCTGGTTTTTCTTTTATTTAGCTCTGGAGTGGGACACTTTTGTATGATGATGTTCAGTGCAAAGGTTTAAAGTCTTGTTGCCAATAAACTTACCATAGGATTCATTTTGTGACTTAGAGAACAGTTTATTGTTGCTCATAGTCCTTGTACCAGATTTGAGTTGTTTCCCATCAGAAATCAGTAAACCTTACTTCCTCTGGACTTTGGAGACGTGTCTTATTTCCTGAGGTCATGGCTCATCTGTTGCTATATGGAAGTTCTCTCATGTAGCCTTTGTTTGTGTTGTTTTATTACTCATTGGCAGTTTCACTTGCTGATATTTGCAGAAAACAAGTGTTCCTAACATTATGGTGGAACTCATGATGTGCCTCACTTGTTTACTTAGTAGTGCATGGTTTTGCTCATGAATTGTTTGCCACATTTGTTGTTTCTTCATGCTTCTCGTTACACTGGACTTGTTCTTGAGTTGGTTTCATTCTCTTGTGGTTACCACACAATGCATCTTTTGTGTTTATAATCATCATGCTAAGATTCTTTTACCAATAAACCCCCCGTTTCACGCGGGTAGAGCCCCGTTCTGTGCATGTGTAAATATAGGTGATTGCGAGATTCAATTCGACTAATTTGGTACCTTGGTGGTGTATTGCGAGATTCAATTCGACTACGTTGGTACCTCAGTAGTGTTGTTACACTTCATGATAGACCTTGTGCAATCTAAGTTCACAGTCCACTTCCCCCCCCTTCCTCCTTTTTACTATAGTATCGCTAAGTGGTAGAAACAATGGGATCAAAGTTCATCCTTGTTTTGGCAATCTTTCAAGGTCATATTTAGTCTTGGTGCTAGTTATCAATCTTAGTTCCAACAAGAGAAAGATGTATTGACTTATAATCAGACTTTATGGTACCACTACCCGTTAACCCATTTTGCCTTTTCCATATATCTTGGCCTTCACATATATAGTAGTGATGGCCCTACATCATGAAGCCACCTCATCTTCAAGTCCATATTGCATTCAGTGAATCACTTCTGTTAAATTCCCCTGTTTTTGTTAGCCTAATGCTGGTTCAACCACTAGTTTCGGACCCATCTGAATGTTCTCACAAATGTTACATGCAAAATTAGTGCACTCATTGGAGTTGGTTTTATCCCCTTCTGTATCCTCGTTCGAATTTTATCTTGATCAAATTAATCAATATTTCCTCTTCTGTGCCGTATCTTGACCAAATTAATCGATGCTTATCACAAGGATTATTCACATTGTAATGCTAAAAATGCTTACATGTTGTGTATCTACAACTCATTTTAATAGTGCCATGACATGTCATGATCACTCCAGTTTCCAAAAGTCTAGATCATTGATGAATTGGCCTTGCATCTTTGCCAATCGGCTAATCTTGCCTCAAAATATGTCATCCTTTCATAAAATTTATGAATCCTTATCACTGATATAATCAAGTGGAGGCTTATCAGATCCAAAATCACTCAATCCTTGGTTTGAGAAATTTGAACCTACATCCTTGGAAATTCTCAATCACAGGCTGCAGCACGTGCATATCGGGTTGGTTCCAGACCAGATTTTCTTCTTGGTGGTAACTTGCATCCAGTTGTTCAGTGGGCTGAGGAGGAACTTGAAACTGATCCGAAAGAACTTGCTAAGGTGCATCATTTATTGTCCTCTGATTTTAAAACTGTCCTTGTTATGGATTTAACTTGTTCCTTTACACACACAGTTTTGAACCTCCAGGTTACAATTGCGTTTGTTAGAAATCTTCCAATCGATGCTGATGAGAACTACTTGAGGAAGCTCTTTGAGCCCTTTGGAAAGGTCTGAGATGTTGCAAGTTTGATTTGGTCATGTTAAATAATGTATCTGAAAGTTAATTATTTCAGGTGGACAATGTGGTGCTGTCCAGGAAGGGGCAGTCCCCCATTGGGTTTGTTCACTTCACTAGACGATCGGTAAGTTGCGTAACACTCTTGTGTAATACACTGCATTCTATTGTGAGTTTACTTTAGTAAAATTTGGATTCCAATTTTGCCTTGTAGTATGCATTATGACCATATTTTTCTTGCCTTTTGTAATACTTTGATGGTTGAGTTGCACTTGGTATCCTGAAAGATTTAAGAATTCCCAGTTTGCACTCTGGAAGATTAGATTTCTAACATTGCACAAAGAACTCTTTTTAGCCCCTACTCCCAACAAGTTGCTGGGCATTGATGCTTACCTTTTTATTATGAAGAAAAGGTTTTTTTTTTTTTTTTTGAAGGTTGAGTAAGGGAGGAATATGGATTTTTGGTCTTGCCATGACCCACCAGAGATACCTACCAAAGTGACCAACAGGGAAGTCACTGCCGTTCTAGCTTTGCGCAGCCCCCTCCCTCCCTCCCTCCCCAAGCCCATTTGTTCCCCCAACCCTGAAGCCTTATCTGTTCATGGGAATCAACTAGAGGGGATTTCTTGATCAATGATGAGGTTCGCATGTACGTGCAGTAGCATTCAAGTAATGCCCTTTGAAATTCAAAGTAGAGACCTTAGTTTGATGTCCTATAACGAGGGGCATCAATTTCTGAATATGCCCAATTACAAGAGAGGTCTGTCAGTCCGTGTGATACCCTATAAAGAGAGGATTCCTTGTCGCATTGTGTGATGTCATTTTTTTCTTCTGATATATTCATTTTTACCTTTTTTGTGGAGCGTTATGTAGCTTTAAAAAGTGCAGTTGTCTCTGAGTGCGCAGAATATGAGTTTTGATTCTGCACTCAAATGGTGAATTCCTCTCATTAATGTCAAATGGGGAATTTATTTTTTTTCATTTGTTAAGGTCTAAATCCCAATTATATATACTTCTCTTTTTCTGTTTGTTCATGTCCGGAAGGGAAGTTGGGCCTTTTATCTAGGAAAGAAAGTGGTTAGATGACCAAGGTTAAATGTTATGAAAACCATTGAGGAAACGGAACAAATAATATCATTTATAACCAAGAAAATCCATCCCATGTACTTGTGCCAAAAATTGAAGGGGGCTTAGCAATACATTGTCACGCGTAATGTTATGAGTTGCAAAACTTTTGTTCTCACCTTGTGGAACTACCAGTAAGTTTGTTCTGTGTGCTTGATAGGTACCAGAAAATCCAACGTTGTTTGTTAATTGCCCCATCCCCACTAACAAACTGAAATGTTTGATATCTAACTAACCTTGGCATCTGAAATTTTATCTATTTGTCCTTTTCAGGGTCCTGAAAAGAAGGCCTTTAATACCTATGACCCAATTGTCTACTTAAGGACATCCTTCTGTGGAGTCTTACCTTATTTAAGCAACTTGATTTTATTTTTTTTGTGCTTTACATTGAGGCTTGCTTAAGAAATGTTTTTTTTTTTTTTAACGTTGCTATGAGAGAACGTGAGTGCATGCCAGTGTAACAACCCTCGGTCTGGGTTTTTAACCTCATTAGGGTTGGATTTAGTGCAAGTGTAATGTCCTCTCCATATTATTTCTTCCCGTGGTGCTTATGAACAGAAACTTGTACGTTAGTTGTACTGGTGATCTTATGCTTTGATACAAGGGTTTTAGTTCTATCTTTGTCACCTTCATGGATTCATTCTAGTCTCTTGCACTCTACAGATTCAGTTTTTGGTTTTTGATTCTCTGTGCCTTCATAGTACCTCTTCACTATTCTTTGCGTAGGACCTTGACAATGCAATCAGGGAAAGACATGGAAAAACAGTTCAAGGACCAAATGGAGGGGCATCATTTATGCTTGAGGTAATTTACCCTTGGTAGAAGTTGTAGAACTGTGGATGTGCTGTTTGAGTTGCATTGAAGTTGGAAGGAAGTTCTTTGTGTTAATAGGTTGAAATAGCAAGGCCTATGGACAAAAAAAAGAAAAGAGCTCGTGAGGATCCCCAAAGCAAACAATACACTGAGATTCCGAGTCATTCCAAACTTCAAAGGAATGAAGAGGCCTTCATTCCCTTCGGTGGTCATATATCCAAAGCTCAAAAGGTGAAATACTTGGTAGAGGTTGATATCTTGTACTATTATTATACCGTACAACTATTATGTTAAATAGTGCTTCTCTGAGGTTTCAATAATAGAATCTGTTGATGAGTGATAACTTGTATAGTTTTTGCGCGTGAGATGGCATGCTATTCAGCTGATCAAGGGATTGCCCTAGGTAGTCAGTTTATCTTCCCATTACTGGGAATGTTTTGTGATGGTTCCTCATATTGGATTAAGTTGCATTAAAGAGACAGTAGTTGCAGGAGGTGCATTTAATTAACAAGTATCTTTATCTTTGCTTGCGTTATTATTGAACTTATGGTTATTCACTGTCAGGAACCAGTTGTTGCTGATCCATATGAAGCTGCTGTAGTCTCATTACCTGTCGCTGTTAAAGAGCGCTTACTTCGGATTTTACGGCTTGGTATTGCTACTCGATTTGATGTAAGCTCTGAAACTGTAAACAGCGGGGTTCTTGGTCATACACTGACCAACTCAAATTATTCGATGAATTATTGCAACAACACTGTTCTTGAATATGCTTGATATCTTATAATCACGCTACTGTCATGTAACATGTTGGATTTATGTGGTAATATAGCTCCTATATCGCGGATTAAGATGCTTTGGACTTAGCTGCTATAAACTGGCTCATGCTTTGAGAGGTTTTTCCAGTTTCCATTTTTTCTTTTGGCCTAAACTTTGATGCATCTCCAACAACTTCTTCTCAAAAAAGCTTGTGCAGCATATTAACTTTTTTCTATCTGTCTTTTTTTTTCCCCCTTTCCATATAAAATTTTGACTTGATATACATTGTCGAAACATGGATCAGAAGGAATTACTATCATTTCCCGTCCTTTTCTAGCTTTCTCTTCTCTTGTTTCTTGAGGAAATTTTATCGTGTATCCTCAGCGTATCTCAAATGTATCAAAGATTGAAAAATAATTTAAATGTATCTAAGCCATATCCAATACTCAACTTGACTCAGCAAATTCTTTATCCCAACTATTTTGGGTTGACTACGTGAATTCTGTTTTTTTATTGTGCTGTAGCAAGGGTTATAGTTCCTGTTAAAGTGTAAGTTTTCATCTTTGGCTGATCTGTTATGTATTGGATACGGATACTCCAATCTTGGTGACTTTGTATGTCAAGTTATTGAATAACTCTTTCTTTTTTAAACCAAAAAGTAAACATTTGATTGGAGTTGGCAGAATTATCTTTAGTGTAGAACTGCTTTGAAGCTATTCACAAATTATCTCACATTATGTCATCTAATTGGCAACTGGGGCCTTTTATAGAAAAAGCATCTGTTCTCTATTTGTCAGTCTCCTCCATTAAGAGCGCATAGTGTAGTTGGTGAGTATATTGTCCACAGTGGCCCAGTGCCATAAAAGATATGACAATCAGAGTCTGTGAGCTGCTTTGCATCATATCAAGGTGGTTGTCTCTTCTGGCTTTTATACTTCGATACTTCTTGTCTATAGTAGAGCATTGGAGTCCTAGCTGATTTTCCCCTAAGACATAGCTATAGTCTCCTCCTTCCAAACCCAAAAGAAAAAAAAGTCTGCATTTTTATCTCAAGAATTTTCAGAAGATGAACTACTGTTGTTTTTGTGCATAATTTACATCAATTAAGGGTTGAAGATTAGTTTGGACTTGGTCTTTATTTAATCTCCGTTAAACTGCATATTCTTGGTTGGAATATTTGGATCTAGAGCCAGCGTATTTGAAGTTTGAACTTTACAGAAGCTTGAAGTTTCCAAAAGGTGCTGGAATTTTGAGTTCATAACATAGTGCATGTTTTTGTATGTGTTCAATGCCAGAGTCTTGGTTAAGTATTGGGCATATTATGTCAGTGTCACATTGTCTGTATCTATGGTCGTAGCTCGCACATGATTTCCCATCTTTTGTTTTGCTTATATCTGGTTGTCTATTGGCAGTAAATGTTCTTATTAATAATCCACATATACCATGTATTGTGGTCACATTTTCCTACTTTGACAGTCACTTTGCCAAGTTGAACCTGATTGCATCAGACAGTTTACTAACCAGATCTGATATTTGATTTTTGGTCATTGGCAGATAGACATTCATTGTCTAACCAGTTTACAGGAACTACCTGAATCTACGGCTATATCTGTTCTTGATCAGGTTCAGCATACTTATATATATATCGTATAATGATCGACTTATCTGGTGCTTTTGATTGCTAAAAGCAGTTCTTTCATCATTTCTCTTCCTATTTCTTCCTTTGTAGTTCATGTTGTCAGCAGCAGATAAGCATAATAAGGGAGCATATCTTGTGGGGTTAATTTCTAGGGTATGTAACTTGTATCCATGGTTTCAAACATCTTAATGCTTCTGGCGTTGTCAGCTTTGCCACGATTTACTATTGTGTATTTTATTTTGTGGGTACAGCACCAGGTTAGTAACTTGGGACTGAGTCGACTCCCTTTGAGTTTCTCAAGATTGGGGGAGATTACTACCAAGGAGTCAGAATTGACTAACTTCTCTAGTAGAGCTCGTCTGCCAGCTGGTGATTCTCTTGCCCCGCATATAGGCGCGACTGTGGCTAGGTTAGTCTCTTGTATTTTCAAATCCTGTTCTGTTTATTTAGGCCCAGTGGTCATATAAGAAGACATTTTCTCCAAACAAATTTTCCTTAGCTGGTTTAAAGTTATTAAGGATTTTATTAGGTTTCCAAGGTTTTCTAATCTTCTTAGTATCTAAGATTTTGTATTTCAAGTCATTAGAAGAATGTGAGATTCAGATGTTTACAGTACTTCCTGCAGTTCTACCTACCAAAAATAATTTACAACGGAAAGACAGTAGAATGAAAATGCTGTTAGTCATTTTAGACTCATTCCTTTTGGCAGCTAGTGGCCAGCCTATAGTGAATTCTGTGTGGAATGCTTGACTTGTGCATCTACGGGAAATTTCAAAAGAAAGTCAGTTTATTTGGAAAAGGAGGCGAAATTCTGATAGTAAATTACCTAAATAGAATTAAAACTCCATGAACAGGTATCTCTGCCTTGCACAATCTGTAGGCTGTTCATGCCATGTGAAGCTCTAGAGAGGTGGCAATGCATCTGAAGGTGAAATCCTTGATTCGGAGCTGGACCTTGGTTTTGGGTTCAGCCTGGGAACTCCTGGTTCCAGAGAGTATGCCAATAACGAGAATAACATAAATAGATTTTCTTTATACTTTGATAATCTTATTGAAAGAAAAAATGGCTACACCGATCCATGATATAGTTGGTAGATCATGCATAGGGACAGTACATGCTGAAGACTGTAGAACGATTATTGTGTATAGGTCTTTATGTTTGATGTTGCTTCTCGTCCATCTAGTTTGAATTATTTCAAACTTCCTCCTCCGTCTGGAACCTACAGTTTTTTTGCTACTGGTTTAACATGTTTCTTCATCCAGCATAATTTATTGTCTCAACCAAAATGCTGATCACTTATTATGGAATAATTGATGGGGATGACAGTTACTATTGTAGCCAAAGGAAGTTAGTGTCAAAGGTAGATTGGGGAAAAGAATTATAGGGGTTATTGAGGATCCATGTGATAATAGGAGACTTCAAGGTTTCACTGATGTACTAGCTACAATTTTTTCCTTTTTCTAGTTTGTCCAATTGTCCCCTCGTACTTTTGGTAAACCATGATTCAGCTTTAGGCCATGAGGCTCTGGTGAGTCTTAAAATGATTCTTCTTTTCTAATAGTATTACTTGGAATCAGTGATGGTAGCGTCTTATGCTTTTGGCTCAGGAAAGGACAAAAAAGTTCTGTTTGTGTATTTCACCAATTAAGACTACAATACTACTTTTTTAAGCCTTATATGAGCACCTCTTTTGTCTGTGATGGAGCATTCTATCTCAAGGCTTGCTGATCTTGCCGTGTTGTTCTTAAGTTTTACTTGGGAAACTGGATGCAAAAAAGCATATATTGTCATTGGTCACGCAGCTTGATTTTTTGGTAATTTAACTAATCCAAAATCATTACTCTTCATTCTCCCGTGCCCTAGCAATTGCGCTCCTGGGCCATTACTTACCTTGTTACGTGCACTATGCAAATGGTTGGTTTTAGCTGCAGTATTCTCACTAAGAAGTGTAGCAATGGGTCTGAGATTATTGTAGTTGGTTACCAGAGAAATGGTCTAGCTGTTGCCAGTTTTTACCAAATATTAAATTCTGCTTAAATAATGGATTTGAGCACACAGATATTATTCTCCTAATTTTCTCAGTTGGTTTGTTGCAGGTCTGACACTCTTGCATCTCGCTATTCCTCAGTATTTTCTGATTATCCTTTATCAAGTCGAGCAGCTTTGGGACGGGTGAAAGAAACAAGCCCCGTCTCTTTGCACCAAATACCAGGTTCTTCTCCACCTTATGGCAAAATTAAAGTGGAGTCTCATGCATCTGCTGTGGATCATCAACCTGTCCGCCCTCGGGTTAGATTTGACCCTTTCACGGGCAAACCTTACAAATTTGATCCTTTCACTGGCGAACCAATTCTTCCTCCAGAAAGTTTACCTCGCCATTTTGGAAGCCCGTACTGATTGTCAGCCGATAGGAGTTTGATTTTTATGTTTTGGAGGTGTTAGTTGCTAGCATTTACTATGTGATGGCTATGAAAGCTGCTTGTACCCTGGTTATTTAGCATCTCGAGTAGGATTCGGATTCCATTTTATGACAAATGTCCTTGTTAATTGTGGGATTACGCCGTTAAAATTTGTTTTTCAGCACATCCAGGCTTGTGGGGCTTGATTTTTTATTTTTGATTTTTATAATTGATCCTAATTTTAGGGGTGCCCCCTGGATTTTTTTGAAATATCATTGCATTGCCTTAATTTGTGGGTGATTAATTATATTTGTGGGTGTTTTTATCACTGTTATAATTATTTTTACTTATTTTTTTTTTCTGTTGTAAAATTATTTTTACCTCTTTTTTTGGGTATTACAGCAGTGTTAAAAATATTCATAACTGTGATAAATGCCGGTATGGTATGGTATTGAATTTTTTTTTTTTTTTTAGTTTGGTACCATAGACAAATCCAAAATTACAACCCAAATTCTGTGGCCTAAATCCTTGAAACGTCGATCAACATTAAACATCGAAAGACCTCTTTGTACGTTACCTGTTATGTGATATGCACAGTGAGATCCAATAGATGCACAAAGAGAGAGAGAGAGAGAGAGAGAGAGAGAGAGAGAGAGAGAGAGAGCCAGTTGGTGTACGGTGCTTTTGCCTGGTGCAGTAATATGTGCACTGGACTCCGTTTTTGGTGTGTGTGGNGCCAGTTGGTGTACAGTGCTTTTGCCTGGTGCAGTAATATGTGCACTGGACTCCGTTTTTGGTGTGTGTGGAGTGAGATATGAAGGGGACGATAGGCTAAAATGTTTGGCCTTTGGCGAAACCTAAAGCTGAAGAATGATGTTGAAGGCGTAAATTCTCAATTTTTACAACCCCAATTATCAGAAAAACAATAGGTGTGAGTTCGAAATTTTTTACAATCCCAATAATCAGAAAATCAAATATCGGGGATGATTCTATTTGTTTCTTTTTTTGGGTTTTTGTAGTTTTTAGATACTACATCTATATATATATATATAGACCAAATATTTTTTTGATGAGAGAGCTTGAGATACATTCCCTCTCAATTATCTAATTTTTAAAGAATTTTGTATTATTAAATTCTTCATCCTCCAACTATATTCTATCAACTGCCTCAAATAACTACTCCAAACAATTATCCATAAATTCCTTCTTATAACAACTTATTTTAATTTTATTTTAAACATCAAATTTACAATCTAATAATTCCTACAACATCAAATTTGATAACTAATAAAATAATGAGTGGGAGAGAATAAAGGGTGAAGAAAACGATAACCCGTGCAATGTTCAATATGCAACTTGTTTATCATGAGTCAATCTCGATTTAGCAGATCTCAAACCGAGCATGGCTCCGTTTGCATTACAGTCCTACGGATAACTGCTGCATAAATTCATTCACCATGCTCTACAGTGTACACTGCATTCTTCATCCCCTACCAGTACCAGTTGTCTACATCTACTGCATAAGAACACAAAATGAAGAAAAGAGGAAGTTGAATGCCAAGACCAAGCATTTGAGGAAGACAACACATTCCCTTGCTAAGCAGAGTCTTGAATTTTCACCCAATCGTCGTGAGAACTTTGTGAATGCCCCTCCTGCTAGGTCACAAAGGTCATTAAAATCAATTCAATACCGCAATTTCAAAACTAGAAAAGTTTAGAACCAAAATTCCTGCTAATTCCAAGCCGAACGATCCCATGACACTGCTGCCAAAGGATATTAAAAGCAAAACTCCAAGCTTGCAGACATAATCATCTCCCCTGGCTACTGGCCATCTGAACCAGGGAACAATGGATAAAGATTTGAAGAACACGAACATGAATTACACATACAAGAAACTTTGTTAAACCCATAGGTACGAAATATATGCAAATCAGATAACCCCAATGATATAACCACCTGATTCAATGAGCGCAACATGAGGACTAGTCCATGAAACAAGTGCAACATTCCCCCCAATTGAAGGTGGCTGAAGGGCTGTGAATACCTAAACTATGCAAAAAATTAACATGTGAAGAAATGTTACAGTGTGCAAATTCATAAACTTCCATAATGTATTCTTCATCACAACCAATATCTACATCCTTCGAAATGGAAACAAAAAATTGTACCAACAAGGCAGATTGTGCAGTTAGGCAGAGAGTAATAGAAACTGTTCAAATTACAAGCCCCCCAGTCCCTAATTGGATCCCTCACTTCCAATCAAGCATGTCTAATAACCACAGGACCTCCTCCTCGGAGTTGGCAGCATCACAGAAATCCATTTCAATTCCAAAAACATCAATGACCCCCTCACTACCATGGTCCATGAAGAGCAAAGATATCCATGCCCGAATACCAGACACAAATGGATAGACAGGGGAGAAGTCAAGGTAGTCAAATGCAAGGGCCCTATAAGCAGTTCGATCTATATATTCAAATACTGATTTGTTAATTATGCAAGCAACTCTTTTGGAATCCTTGCGCCCAACAAGCACAGAGACACTAACCGTCTGGCTCTGAGGAACAGCAAACCTTGGCTCTACAGGTAGGGTCATCTTGTATTCTGGGCTCTCCAAGTGAAACCTAAGCACATCACAAATTCCAGGCGGTGGGACCCAGATCCCCTTCTGAAGAACAGGGCCTGGCACCTTTTCTGAGAATATTAGCCTCTCTTCAGCCCAAATGTCAATGTAAAACTCCAAGTCATTTAAGGATAGCCTTGGGGGTGGGAGAGTTCGTTGATGCTGCCGTTTATAGAAGGTTTGAAATAGCTTGTAGTAGGTCACAATGGGAGGGGATGGTTGCTTGCAGATAGAGGGCCATCTCTTGGCACAGAGGCATTTCCAGAAGTAATCATCTTTGGCTATCTCTTGCCATTGTCTACACACCACCATACAAGCAGCAAGGTCTGTGCCTTCAAGTAGCGGAAAAACAGCCTTCCAAACTTCTTCACTCAACATCATTAGCAAAAGGATGGAAAATGGGGGAAGAACAGCCAGAAAATGGTTTGGCTCACATAGATTTCCTGCAGAAGATTAAGAAGAGATTCAGCTTTAGGAGATATGTACGTATCTCTATCCAACTTCAACATTATAAATTGAGATTCAACTTCAGGAGATATGTATGTATATCTATCCAACTTCAACATTGTAAACTGAACAATAAGACAGTTTCAAATTACAGTACTACACTTCTACTACAAAAAATTGCAGCAAGAAGAAAACCTAAGCATCATGTAGCAACGCTATACACATGTAACTAAAGAAGGATATCCATTACCATATCCAATCAATCCAATTGCAGAATCTATCCATCTTGTGAGATACTCGAAGCAAAATATTTCCAGATACCAAACATGCTACCATATGATCCAAGTATCAAACATTCTCCATTTGGACCAATGAAGTGCAATGAATAAATGAATGGTTGCCCAACAGGAATTTCTTACTTGGGTAACTAAAACATTGATGGAACATTATTTGTTAGGTGGGTCCACCAGCCCCACTCCCAAGGAAGAAATGTAAATGACTTAACAAATATCACAGGTGGAACCTACTACAATAAATATATGGCAGGTAATGAGTGTTTTGGCAGGCTAGTCCATGCCGATTTTCCGGCATTGACGGCTGCACAGTACATAATGGTAAGTGACTCTCTAATTTTCTCTATATATATGGGTGAAGAGTGAAGACACAAGAAAGAGAGGCCTCAAGTATGAGCACCTTGGCTCCATACTCTACACACACACCTTTTACCATTTCTCTAGTTTTACACACTAGTCTATTCATGTGTTGATCGCAATACTGACTTAGGCATCGGAGGGGCCTTCCCTGGCTCAACGCCGGGGTCCCACTAACCTTTTTCTGCCTTGCAGTTCATGGACTGGATGAGATTCAAAAACCAGGGATGCACTTTCAGCATTCTANTTGGAGGGGCCTCCCTTGGCTCAACGCCGGGGTCCCTCTAACCTTTTTCTGCCTTGCAGTTCATGGACTGGATGAGATTCAAAAACCAGGGATGCACTTTCAGCATTCTAGTGATTGTGTGAATTTTTGCCTGCACAGTTTGGCGTCGTCTATGGGAAACGAAGCATGTGTATCCCTTAAATCTTCATATTACCCAATTCGTGAGCCCTGCTGAAGTTTCGAACCATTCATGTATTTCGGTCTTCGGGCACTCGGTCATTGAACGTCATTCTGTGTTTCACATTTTCTCACCGTATGAGATTTGGTCTCTGGTATATGTTTATTCATGGGNTATCCCTTAAATCTTCATATTACCCAATTCGTGAGCCCTGCTGAAGTTTCGAACCATTCATGTATTTCGGTCTTCGGGCACTCCGTCATTGAACGTCATTCTGCGTTTCACATTTTCTCACCGTATGAGATTTGGTCTCTGGTATATGTTTATTCATGGGGTGGGATGTTAATCCCAGATCCTCATCAATGTGAGCCAGTAGCATAAAGGCCCCATTTTTACACCAAGCTTTATTCATAAAGTTTTAGTGTTCCTAGTCTCATGCACCAGTGGTTTCTTTTGTGGGGCATAACAAATGACTTCCTTCATTAACACCCAAAGTATGTTGTTTCTCATAAAAGACGACTAGAGTTTGTGTTTTAGCAGTCTTTTACCTCTCTGTGTGTGTTCCATTGCAAGCATACAAGGCGTACGAAACAGTCTCACCGTTAGCAGTGGCCAAGCTCTCCCTTCGGTGCCGACACCGAGCATGTGCTAACCCATCTCAGCATATATAAAAGCTCGGGCTCAATGGATCTTGTGCTCGGAGTTTGCTGACTACAGATAAGTATTTCGCTCATGATGATCCAATATGATTTATGATAAACTTCTATTTTTACTAACACGAATAGACATAAAGACTTTGCTCGGCCTCTCTTGGCACGTGGTTTGTATAACTCGGTCTTTCTTTCGTACCCATAAGAAAAACCCCCCACAATATATTTGCAAGATCCCATGGAAGCTTCCGTGAGATTGACCACAAAGCCTAATTCACAAAGTAATCTTTATACTTTATCTTGTTGGTATATCATCTGTTGTGAGGCACAAAGTAACATGTTATGACCCAGAAGATAATTCCTTGCCTTGATGTATTCTTATAGTGGTCGGCCTGTCTTTTGGATTGGTTATGGTGGTTGTTCCATACTCATGCTAAAATCATGAGTAAATTGAAAACCCAGAAAAAGGACCTTGCTTGGTATTCGTTTTGGATGTCATTCGTGTTTCTTGGCTTATCTCTGCATGTCTTGTTGTGCAAAGGGCAAACAGCCCACGAGCCTTTTAAGTGCAAAAACATAGGCCAAATCAAAAGTCAAATCCTACTCACTTCTCTTTGTGAGAACCATGTATTAGCTTGCAAAAAATTTACCGTTAGCAAGGGCTAGTAACGCCGAGAGCTTGACAATAACTACACCAGTACACTTAATGAATTTAGACATGCAAACAGAGGCACATTGAAAGATTGAGGCCACAAGACTATTTGCACAGCCCACCAGACAAGAATTCTTTTAAATCTTGGTGCTTCCTGTCGACTGACAATAAGTATGGTGACTAACAAGAAATGTTTTCTATGAGAAAACGTATAACTTTCTGTTTGTGAATGTTCTAGAATTTGCTTGAGGCTGGGGCAGATTTGGCTTACCACGGTCGGTGCCATTGTGAAGATAATCAGCATCACCACCAGAAAAGCACAAAAATCATGTGGATGGTCGACACACCATCTCTGTGGCTTTCCTTAGCCATAAACTACAAGCACAAAACGGAGAAGTCAGCATCGCTTATAAAACCCAGGAGTGGTTTAAGTGGTCAGGCTCTCATCAGCCTATTAACCCCGAAGAGGTCAACCTGTCAAGTGTTGAAGATGATCGTCTATTTCCACCAGGGTGCTCTATCCTTGAAAGTCTTTTGAAACATTGCAGCTGCTCTGCATCACCCAAGGGAACCAATGTGCTCGGCACCACTTATATGATGGGTGGAGCTATTGTAATTGAAACATCAGTTGGCATAATAGCATTGCAGATGGTCGGTGTATAGCTTTGGAGCTAATTGGGACCCAACACAGCCTGAGTCTAAACTCATCCGAGAACTCACTTTTTAGCAACTAACTGCTCGGCAGTGGAGGGCATGTCCCAAAGGCTTGGGTTCTCGAAACAAGGGCCCCCGGGTAGTCGGCCTCAACTATAGTTCTCGGCTTTGCCTAAACTTATAATTTTTTGGGTGGTCAGTCCATCAAGTGGGGGTCGGTGTGGCACCACCACTGGATAAGAGACCTTGCTCGGTCTTCTCTATTGAATTTACCCCTGCAACTAGCGGCACTCCTCCGACTTCAGAATCAGCTCTGGAGACGTGTGGACAGTTGGTCATACTGAGATCCTCAATATCATCCATGGGCAGCAATGATTTGTCCCAGGTGGTTAATCCATCACCCAAAATTGGCCCAATGGTCATTTCGTGATCACTCCTGTGTAATCACCATTCTCAACAAAGAGAAGCCATAGTAATGCAGCTCACTCCCAAAGAAGTGTTCATTCAGGCATTCCACCAAACATCAGTGAATAATCTAAAAGAGGCATTCTTCTGGGCATTATGTTAAACGCCAAGTGATAGGCACTACCATATAGTGCACTCAAATTACAAAGTTCAGAGATGAGGGATAACCTATAGTTCAAATCAATGAAACCCGAAACCCGAGAGCTCCCGAAATGCTCAGTCTAACACCCCGATGACTATCTATCTTGTCGGTCTCTTATGAAGTTGATTGGGACTTCATTGTTGCGGTTTGCATATGGTCACACAATCATGCCGATCAACTGAACCAAGAACGAGTTCTTAGTCATTCTCCAGGGATGTCTATTGAATAAAGGATGCTACTCCAAAGGAATGAAGGCACTGGGTGTCAATGAGCAAAATTGTTCGGCGTCATTGAGGAGAACCAGGAGCTCGTTCGGAGCCGACAACCGCTGTTCCACCTTATTTTTCAATTGACGACCACAAGGCAAGGGTGAGTTATGACGGGGTAGTCGGCGTTTCATCTCAAGCATCAGTGTTGAAAAAAGACCTCCCAAGCATTTCATCGAACAATAGACAGGATTTACTTCACTTTGATGGGTTGCCTAATTCTGTACCTGTTCCAACTCTAAAGTTCTGCTTGGAAAAGCGTAAGTAGACGAGAAGGAGAGTTGAAATAAGAGGGGACGAGCTCCTGACGCTCTATGGTTTTCTATCGCCGAGCAACGAAGAACTACTGCCGATTGATATCACAAGCATAATACTGGAGGGCACAAACTCAAGATAAAAGCCCTATATGTCTAGGCACTTGGTGGGCTCCGAGGCCGTAAAATGGATAAGCCTTTACTCGGCCAAAGCACCAAAAGTCCTAATGTAGGCAAAAATCTATCGGGGACAGATTCTAGAACTTGGGCTTGGGAGTACTCTTTGTTTAGGAAGGTGACATGGGGTTCAGAATTTGACCCTGAACACGGGTAAGTCTTTGTTCGGCCAAAGCACCAAAAGTCTTAATGTAGGTAAAAACCTCTCGAGGACATGTTCCAAAACTTGGGCTCGAGAGTACTCGTTTAAGGAGGTGACATGGGGTTCAGGATTTGGCCTGAACACAGGTAAGCTTTTGCTTGGTCAAAGCACCAAAAGTCCTAATTTAGGCATAAAACCTCTCGAGGACAGGTTCCAGAACATGGACTCGGGAGTACTCCTTACTTAGGGAGGTGACATGAGACTTTGGGTGAAACCCTAGACATAGTGCAATACAGTTACAAGGGAGAGCTCGGCCCTACGTCAACATTCATATTCGAAGGTTAGACGTGAGGACCCTCTCAAGAAGAATCTCACTGAGTAAACCTTGAATTGCCTAACTACGGGTTTGATATATTCAAGACCTAATTCGACAAGGTATGCTTTTATTTATTTCAATTAAATGCTAATTGAACATGATAAGAAAGGGCAAGACTCAACGCCCAGTTGATCAACAAACTTGAGACTGTCGAGACCAAAGAATAGATATGTTTGGGCCTTCTTTTATGGGCATTCTAAAGGAGCCAAGACTATTCGATCCCTCTTCAGAGGACTCAGTATATTCGGCCTTTCTTTACAATGACAGACTTATGTTGATCTTTTTCAAGGGTCATGGTTATTTGTGTTTTTTGGTCCCTCTTCAAAGGATCGACTATTATTGTCCTCTTTAGGCTCACTCATGCTTGATGTTCGTCGTATCCGATCGTAGTAACCCTTCTCGGGGTTCATAGATTATTGTATTCTTTGGGTGAGATTAAAGTCCAATTCTGATTGTCCTGTTCAGGATTCGACTCTCTCCAGTGGCTTGTTATGGTTATATTTGGTATTCCATTACTCAACCCCTCAGCAAGGTACTTCATTATTGTTCAGCCTCAAGAAACACATTTGAGACCTTTATATTCGGTCTCTCTTCCAGAAATCTATGTATTTGGTCCTTCAATGGCTTGGTTTATTCAGTCCTTCCTCGGGCCTATTGGGTTACTCTTCGAGGGCTAAGCTTATGTGGTCCCTGTTCAAAGGATCAGCAACATCTGTTATAGGCCTTTCTCGTTGGATCTATTTGCCTTGGAAGGTGCCTCTTGATTGTCTCATTCACGGCTTAACTATTATTATCCTTGTCGGGATTCTATTATGAGCGTATCGATTAGGATTCAATTATCTTCATCCTTCAGATTTGGCCTCTTAATAAGGTACTTTGTTATTACACGGGCTAATGGGTTTCTAATGTGTTCATTGTTATTGCTCGGGCTTAGAACTATTTATACCATGGAGACGCCATCTATGGCACCAAGCAGATGTATTGTTCTACCTGTTGAGATCACTTATTACTTGTTGAGTATTTGGGCTTCACGGTTATTGATCTCCGTATTCTATTATAAATGTCNTTCTCTCTTCCAGAAATCTATGTATTTGGTCCTTCAATGGCTAGGTTTATTCAGTCCTTCCTCGGGCCTATTGGGTTGCTCTTCGAGGGCTAAGCTTATGTGGTCTCTGTTCAAAGGATCAGCAACATCTGTTATAGGCCTTTCTCGTTGGATCTATTTGCCTTGGAAGGCGCCTCTTGATTGTCTCATTCACGGCTTAACTATTATTATCCTTGTCGGGATTCTATTATGAGTGTATCGATTAGGATTCAATTATCTTCATCCTTCAGATTTGGCCTCTTAATAAGGTACTTTGTTATTACGCGGGCTAATGGGTTTCTAATGTGTTCATTGTTATTGCTCGGGCTTAGAACTATTTATACCATGGAGACGCCATCTATGGCACCAAGCAGATGCATTGTTCTACCTGTTGAGATCACTTATTACTTGTTGAGTATTTGGGCTTCACGGTTATTGATCTCCGTATTCTATTATAAATGTCAGGTGTATTCAGCCTGTGCATGTATTATTGCCGATGGTATTCAGGCTCCTTGCTCGCTTGACAACATATAGTGGATCTCAGCATCTCTCTCTCAAGTTGCACCCTGCCAAAAATAGGTGTGGACATTATCTCCAGAGACATGAGTATTCTTCATAACTTTTATCTCCTTCTGGATATTCAAAGGAAATAAAAGCTGGGGGCAATTGACGGAACATTATTTGTCAGGTGGGTCCACCAACCCCACTCCTAAGGAAGAAGTGTAAATGACTTAACAAATATCACAAGTGGGACCTACTACAATAAATATATGGCAGGTAATGAGTGTTTTGGCAGGCTAGTCCATGCTGATTTCCCTGCATTGACGGTTGCACAGTACATGATGGTAAGTGACTCTCTAATTTTCTCTATATATATATGGGTGAAGAGTGAAGACCCAAGAAAGAGAGGCCTCAAGTATGAGCACCTTGGCTCCATACTCCACACACACACCTTTTACCATTTCTCTAGCTTTACACACTAGCTTATTCATGTGTTGATTGCAATACTGACTTAGGCATCGGAGGGGCCTCCCCTGGCTCAACGCCGGGGGTCCCTCTAACCTTTTTCTGCCTTGCAATTCATGGACCGGATGAGAATCGAAGACCAAGGACGCACCTTCAGCATTCTAGTGATTGTGCGAATTTTTGCCCGGACAAACATATATGATTGGAAACGCAATTGTCAATAGTCTGTAAAACATATTGAGCTCGTCAATAGTCGGGCTTTTATTCTAGCCTCCCGACTCTTCTACTGCATGTCATTTCTGTGAGTTGCAACTATCAGTCTGTAAAAATGCAATCTTAACGACAGTGTCCAAGATCAACTTTTTAAGAACATACGACCTAACTATTTTCTAGCAACCAAAAAGATATGAGATTTTACGGTCTCTCAACTGAATCCATAATGGATTTTCAAATTAATTTTTAGTTAGACTGAAAAAATTAATTCGTGAACACGAAGAATGTTTGATTAATTGCCAAGGCATGGAGTTTTAATTAAACGCATTGACAGAACCAATCCCAGTCCCTAAAAAAAAATGAATTATAAAGGAAATTAACATTCAATTTTTATTTCCTTTATCCAAATTCTCTGAGGGACCAAGTGCAAGGTACCTACCTACCTACCTGCAGTGCAACATACAGCTCTGAGAAAACCTATACAGAAAATTTAAAAAAAAAAAAAAATCAAAAAATCCCAATCCCAATCCGAATCTAGAATTCGAATGTTGGTAGCGGTGGAAAGTTAAGAGCTATATACACAATTAATCAAACAAAAAGGCCACGGAAGACAATCAATTCAGGTGAAATAACAACGATTCAAACAACACAGCAAACAAAAATCTACCTGTAACAAATAGATACAACGGATCTGATTAGCTCAAAAAAAGTCCAGAAAACAATAGAGATCCAACAGCGAGGATATCAGAAAAGAAGACAAAAAGAAAAAAAACTGACGCAAGAGTTTTGAAGAGATTGATTGACCTTTTGAAGCGGTTCAACGAGAGAAAAAGCTTCCCCCGGAAAAAGAGAAACACCAATCTATGAACCCAATGATTGATCCATCGTCACCTAGGTGGGGAGAGAAAGAGGAATAGAGAGTTAAGGGTAGGTTTTGGTCTACTGGGTCCCACGTTTGTGGTCTGCTGGATCCATCGTCAAAGGATGAGACGCGTTTCATATTGGACTTATTTATTAATCAGTAATGTTATATCGGCCAAAATTAGGGACAAAATAAAGAATCTAAATGATATGATAGTTGTTAATATGCCTTATCTGTTATGTCATTTAAATTCTTTATTTGATCCTTAATTTTGGTCAATTTATGCATAATAAATTATATTATATTGGGTTTATTTTGTCTATAATTTGTGTATAATTGATATATCAGGTCTACTCATTTCTTAAATGGGAGGACTAACAAAGATTCAAATTTTCTAATTTTGTGTCGTGTTATCGTATTTTGATACTCTTAAAAAAATAATTATTTTATTATATTTATATTTAAAATTTTAAATAATTAAGTCTTACGTTTAAAATTTATTTTCATAGTCTTAAGCTCAATTAGTAACATAGTTTCTTCCGATTTTATCCATTCTATAATACCATAAATTATATATTTACCTTTTATTTTAGGGAATTAATTTTAGTTTAGTTAAAAGTTAATTTTAATGATTGTTTTCATGCCTAGGATTCTAATTACATTCATTTAGATAACCAATCTTTATTCGAATTTGTTCTGAATTTGAATTTAATTGATCAAATATAAATTAGTAATTTTGATAAATTATTTAATTTTAATTTTAAATTTACTATTGTTATATCTTATTTCACGGATTCAAATTCAATAAAAAATTATGTATATAAATCTATTCATATAATATGAAATTAAATAGCTATTTTGTGAAATTGAGTTACAATTTAAAAATAATTTAATAAAATATATCTTGAATTTAATTGTCAGGGTGGCATTGGATTCTAATTTTTAATGGACTACGATATAGATTGTGAACATGAATTTCATTGGATATTCAAATTAAATTTGAGCAAAAGGTTTCAAATCGGATCAAATTAATTTGATCCACTGACATGTTAAGTGTAGA